AGTTTCAACTCGTCGATCCATTGGAAATATACCATTAGTATAATTTGTTCCATCGTGCTTTGAAATATGCAAACGGGTGATTGATATATTATAGACTAATCCACTTTTCACGGGACATGTAAATGTACAGTTATTGGAAATAGATCGGTTTTTTCTATCGTCACTTTGACATTGATAAATAATATTTGATATTGTCTGTGTAACTTGATCACAATTTGGTACTAAGATTGACGCCAATGTTTGATCTTCATTTAGTGCTATGTTGAAACTTGGTAACATCTTGAGAGAAAGCGGGTCCAACGTAACAATAAATGTTTGATTTGTAATAGTTTGATTATATTGATAATGGCTACCAAATATAAATATCCAATTTCGGCCAGCATGGTTGATTATGTTATTACATGTTAGCATAATAATCGTCCTATTGATGTTACGTGATTCAGGTTTTAATTTACATGATGTTTCGGTTTTATTATTTCTAAAGACTGCCAACGAATAAGAATTCATAATGTAACAAGTGTATGTAATACGGCAGGTGAACATGGTTGATGTACGACTAATCACTTCGATCGGATTTGGTTCATAAAGATTACAAGTAGTATCTATAATAAAAAAAAATATATTCATCTATTATTCACCTATTTGAAGAGTAAGAAGAAATATTGACCTGGTGTTCGTGCTATTGTTGCTTGGTTACTAATGATTTCTAAATTGGCATAGGTAACAACCTTTGGCATAGATTTCCATACGTATATGATTAGTAGATATTTGAGATCAGACTTACCAAAATCAACAAAACCTGTATTAAGAACCAATACCAAGAGCTTTCCATGAATATGAAAAATCTATTTTTTCCTTGTATTACTGTTAATATCTTTTTGGAGGAATCAGATTAACAATATGTCGTGAAGAAAACTCACCAGAAATAACGATCAAACGTTGATCGACTCTATTCTAAGTACTTAAAGATGACGACCTGTTCAAATAATGCAAAAATGTTTCTCTAAAACGAAGATATTAAATTAAAACACCAATAATTTTCTACTTCTTATTGAACAAAATCTTCCTATCTGAATCATTCTCGCTGTTTACAATTTAATCTATCGACTTCAGTTCAATGCTGTTTTACATTCCGTATGCATTTTTCAATATTAGGAAATGCTTTATTAGATAAATTCCATTTTCTTCGAACTCTTTTGCTTATTATTATAGAATATCTCGATTAATCGAATATTCCGTCATATGACTTGTCTATATTATTTGAATCTATCAAGATCAGATTATCTAAAAAGAAAACGGATTTAAAATAAAAAGAAGTTTCAAGTACACTAATTCAGGACCGCATTTCAAGAAATTTCTCATTAGCTGTTAAATCATCGAAAGAATCGACGGTATGAGTAACTTGATTTATTGAGATTATATTGCTCACCACATTTGTAATTGAATCAATAATTGTAGATCATACCATCTAGATATATTAACTAAATATCTTTAGAAAATATCTAACAAATTCTCGTAGATTTTTTTTTAGTTATATTACAACAATTTCAACATATTTATCAATGTGATAGTTCGTCAATTTCACTGCAATTTGTTTTGTTTTCTATCATTATTGAATAGGAAATCGCACTATTTATAGACGGTAGAACATTCAATTCAATGAAAAACTTAATAATGGTAGAGATACCCATGTAAAAATTTTGATCCAAAAAAGTTACTATTAAGTACTTTTATTATTTTTCCATGAAGTGTAAAAAGTACTTAAAGGTGAACCTTTTTAAGTAGCTATAAGTATACTAAATAGTACTAGAGAAGTACTTTAAGAAGTATTAAAAAGTACTTTTCACTATTAAGTATACTTATAGTCACTTAAAAAGGTTCACTTATAAGTACTATTTTTACATTTCCTACAATGTAGTAAAAAGTACATTTTAGTACTTTTGCAAGTAATGGAAGTGCTATATAGCAATCAATCTACGAACCTAAAAAACTCACTTTGAAGTAATAAACATTCTTCTGGGCGAGAAAAAGACTTATCTTTCCGTTCAACAAATATGCACAGAAAGATAAGTCCTTGATTCACTCAAGAAATTATTTATTTTTTACAAATGAATTTTTTCAGGAACATAAATCGAGTATCACAGAGTGCTTTAATTGAAAAAGTTGATGTGCACTACCGATCTTTTTCAATAACTCTCAATCATTATAGCCCATGAAGTTGTATTTTTTCGCGTATGACAATAAACATGGGAATGCCTCTCTATGTTAGATTCACTAGGGTCGAAGAATTTTGTGTGCTTTTGTCCGAAATTGATATGTTGTTATTGATTGTTTTGCATTACTTTTTAAAATGAGCGCGACTAAAGCTAGCACTATTGTTGTCAGGTTGGAAAAAAACTGAGCGATCACTTTGGAAGACAATTGCAATCTTTCTTCAATGGATGACCGAATCTTTGTGGATAGAGCTATTTTTTAGAAATCATGACGAAAGAAACAAAAAAAAAAACAGCTGAACATTTCGTGACGAAAAATGAAAATTTTTCAAGTTTGCGGGCACTCCACTCCCTATGTTGAAACATCGCCGAAAGCTACACCACACCACCACAAGAGATTTTGTACACAGCATGCAAAATCTAGATCCCTTCTTTGGCGTTCCGAACTTCTCTTTCAAATCACAGAATATAGAGATCTGAGGAGTTTATCGTAAATATAGGACTTTGACAGCCCTATATTGTAAGTCAACTCTATGAACGAAGACTTCATGTTTTGATGAACATGCTGTAATGATGAAACAGTGCCACGTAATATTGCCTACTTCTAATAAACGTCGACAATTTGCACAGCAGTTTCCTCCTATCAAAACCTTCACTCCATTCATCTTCAGCAGCTCAGATGATGCGCAACAATAGCTCGATCGTTACATACCTCCGAAATCCTCATTGCCAAGTAGAACTGAAATATAAAAGCAATAGAGACTACTTTCATGAAATGTCTGTTACAGATCTAGAAAAATCCAATGTAACTAAGAGCTTCTAATTAGAAAAGCCACTAAACTACTCAGCAATAAACCACGAGCCGCATACTTAATTCATCTAGCGCACTCACGTGAAATCAGATCCTTCTTTCTAACCTACCTTTACTCATTACAAAACATTAGGAATAGAGGTCCCCAACAAATATAAGCATGCACAACGAATTTTGTTAACAAATCTTCAATACGCAACTTGCCCATACACTTATTTCACATTTTCCATTCACAAGCCCTCCCCAATACACTCACACAATTCGCATAACGCAGCGGTGACTCCTCCCTGGATATAGTACTTTGATACCTATGGCTATATTTAATTAACTATCTTAATTACTCTCCTATTATGAGTTGAAATATATCAATGAGAATGCAGACGAAATAATCCTTAGCACAATACTCTATGAAAACTTAAACAGATAAAGATTTGATATTTTTCAATAAAAATCATGATCCTTATATACTCGTATACTTGGCGAAACAAAACGATGATTCTCTAGTGGACATAATGCTTTCGATACTTCTATTATTACAAAAGTACTTAATAGTGCTTTCATCAGATGAAAAGTATGGAAAAGTACTTGTGATAGTAGGAAAAGTAATGTAAAGTACTTTTAAAAGTAGAAAAATCAAAAGTCGATACTTTTCAAAACAATAAAGTACTTTATAAAGTAGGAAAAGTAGTTGAAAGTACTTTATTTATTGAAAAAGTATTATGAAGTACTTCTTGAAGTAGATAAAGTTTCAGTAAGTACTATAAAAAGTGAAAAATAGTAAGGAAAAGTTACTTTATTTGACTTTTTTATTAGAAAAAGTACTTAAAAGTGTTTTTAGGATACTTTTTTTTACATGGGTATCAGGAAATGACAAATATACATTAGAGAGATTTATATGCATGAAACATCTTGGAAGTAAATTACGCGTCAATTTAAATAAGGTAATTTATTTATAAGTATAATAATACTTCTCTAGTGACTAATGAAGCAGTCGTTGTGCAGAAGAACACGATGGAAAGAAGCTTATTTCTTGTTTTATAATATGTGTGCCTCAAAAATTAAGGATTACATAGCGTAGACATGTTACCATATAGGATAAGAATTAGAAAATTATTTTAGTTAGAGTACAAAGTACAAAAATTGTTTACCTTATTCATTGAAAAATTCCCAGTTAAGTTTATTGTGTATCATTACCTACTCTTATTTTTTGACAGAATTGAATGTTCATATATGATGTTTAATCTTCCCTACTAATGTCTTCTTATCAAACTCGTTTTTATTGTAATAACTATATATACTGAGACATCTAATTCTCTTGATTCTTTCTTTCCTTGCTTTATTCTTTCCCTCGTCTTTTTTTTATCTACCTTGATTGCCTATATAGAGATGTTCTTTTTATGTAAACAACACGAGTGATGATATGAAGAAGTTAAATAAATTGTAATTCTATCCACATTATACTTACTCATCGTATTTATCTTTTATTTGATGTAGGATTGAATTGAATGCAATGATTGGACATCTATCTTAAGATAGTCGACATGTATATCTCTTTGGCTTAGATTGCGAAATGAAGGCACTAGAACACTTGCAAAAATTTTCTCAAGCACAATATTCTGGAACTTTCCCAACCGCCATAGTTTAAGATTACAGTAGTGGTTTTAATGTTCGAGCCACACACTATGATTTTCGAGAAGTGATTACATTCGATTTTTCCAACCTCTATGCTTTTCACAAGGCTCAAGAGTTTTTAATAAAAGCTGGAGATTTAGAGGTAAGAACAAAGAATTTTATATTGTGTAATTTTTTATAATATTGACAATATTATCTTCTATGTTGATCTATTTTTAAGCAAAAGTGTTACTAATGAACGAAGGATATGTACTGGTGTAGTGTGGATATAGATGTGGATCTTTCATT